TTTTCAACTATTTTCATGTTTCTAATATAGTTTCCATTCCTATAATATTTTCCTGTCTACAATCTACTAGGAAAAATTGATTGACAAATACTGATACATTTTACCGTCAAGTAAGCACACTAATTGTATTTAACTGTGATTTCACAGCTGCCGAGGATGATATCTCCGAAGACAAAATTGTTTGCTGAATTTCCTAGTCTTTAGGTCTCAGTGGAAATATCAACCACAAATTTCTCTTGGAAATAATTTTGTTCATCTGTATTGAGTCCAGTCAGTGGAAATATTCACAAATTGTTATTTTTTGTGATGTTTTATATTTGTCTTTTTGTTTTCGAATGTACTGTTGATATCTACTCATCTTGAAAGGTTGCGAGATGAAACTCTCCGACTTCCATATTTAGGTAGGTTATCATTCGTTCATCTATTAACGTCTGCGTTCGGAGTCATGAGAACTATGTGCGGTTGCAAATCAGGATTAAATAAAAACTGTTCTATGAACCCAATTGGTTTTCAACAGCTAATAGATTTGTTTTGTTAACTACTTCTATTTGATTTATTGATTTATCCTGCAAATGATATATCTGTGTAATTCTATAATATTTAGCTGTTCGTGTTCGTTAAACTAGTAAATAAGGTGGTTGTTGGACTTCATATTCAACTAAGAATAAATTGTTCATCCGAAATACAAATCCAGCACTTTTCCCGTCGAATGCTGGTTTGCTTACTGGATGAACTTTAAGTAAATTGGAAGTAGATTCATCAACGTGTTTTGAAAGAAAACGAATCACTTAATCCTTATTTATCTTGATTTCCGTATACAATAAAAGAGTCTTAAAGCAATAACTCGTTTATTCTTACAACTCGCTCTCAAGATTGGTCAATAAAACGATGCATTTATAAGAAATCTACATTCACAAAATGGTACCTAAAGTACCATGAATTCTGTCCAATACAATATAAATAATCTTTAGTTAATTTTCCATTCAAGCGTATTCAAAGACAACTTAAAGAAGGAAACGCAGAAGCCCATCAGAATTTTTGCAAGACGATCATTGTCCTCTGAAATTTAATAACGGAAACAGAAATGCTGAACAAAGAAGATCCATTATCCAATCAGTTCCAAAGAAAGATGTCTATATTACGCTAACATATATAGGTGATTCATAGAGTCTGGGATCCGAACAAAGACCTCATAAAGCCATCCGAAGAATGTAACATGAGGCAAGGGTCATGACCATGAAGAAGACAAAATTTATGTGCTCCTGTGAACTCTCTCAGTATTTGAAATTTAGAGACCCATCAACTGGCGTTTATCCGTTTAAATGTACGTGTGGCCATATTTAGAAGGAGAGGACTCATTTAGCTCTGTAAGTAAGAATCACAGAGCATATTACATAATGTCTGTAACAACAAATCAAATGGAATGATCTCCGAACTCGTCTATGGCTAAAGGTATCATTAAGATGGGTCACAAAGGTGATTTTTATACATCTTTCAGACCTATATTCAAGTTTCTTGAAGCTCTGTATATGAGAAATTTTCATCCTGAATTCGTTTCTTTGATACATAGCGCATAGTGATAACAGTATAATTTACTGGATAACTTTTCGAGTATAAATTATTGACATGATTATAAGCAATAATTTATGCCCTGAACGTTATCAAGTAAGTAATACTGCTTCATTGTACGCCATATATAAAATAAAGAAATCTAATACGGAATTACATTGTACCACAGTGCCCAAGTTTTAAACTTATTTTAGTAAGAAAGTTTCGATGACTTTTATACAGTCAAGAGCAATTTGTTATTACATTAAGCCTTCCATAGTTACTCAGCTTTAATACAAGGGGGATCAATAAACTGCCTTCCTCTTCGCGTATAAACTAACAATTCGAAGCTGTATTATGTCTATTATTATTTTAGCAACCATTCATTCATTCATTCATTCTTCTGATTAATTTATCATGAATAAGCATGAGAAGTAAGCGTGTTACCGGATATTTAGTAATGTATTGGGCTAAAACATCACACATTTCAGGCAAACTACGTCTTCTTATTCTTTTATCGAAACTTATAAATCAGACTAGGTGTTTCAGTTTCATGTTAATTTTGTTAACGGAATTATAAATTTATTTTACCTCCATTTCCCATATCTTTTGACCATCTAGGAACCACATCTTTTTCAAAGAATTGTAGTAATGTTTCTCGAAATGCATTGCGGTCAAAAATGATTTGTGGTGATGACATATCTTCACATTTGGATGCATAATTACTACTTTCTACTGGCCAAATTAATTTTGAAAGAAAACATGTGAATCGTAAAGTTGAATATGGTCTTCCATCACCAATAACTTTTAATAAGTAATCTGATTTAGCTGATTGTAAATCACAAATTAATGATTGGCAAAGAGTTTCAGCTTCCATGAAAAATTCTATCTATAAATAAAAGACAAATTTGATTTCTATTTTTAGTACTGATTTGTTGGCGTAAATGATTAATTAGATTTCATTTTGATAGAAGTGCTAATTCTTTTATGTGTACATAAACTCACGTGGGTTAGTTTATTTAACCTTGAAAAAGGCAAATCACTTAGCTAATTAATTTTCAGGATTAACTAATGTGTTTGTCTACTATTTCAAAGAATGTTCTTCTTTGGCTAACATATTAGTTTAGTTTTATCTATTGATAAATGTATGACACAATTTTGTACTTTCAGTGTGAGTCAGCAAAACAACTTAGAACCTAGTAAAAACATGTCACAGTATGACCTGTTAAATGTCGAAATGAAATAGATTAAAAAAAACAAACAAATTAATGCATGAAAAGAACAAAATAGAAACATGAATTTAAATGGTACAATAATGTATTCAGTCGCCATACTCATACATACTCACCTCTGAAATTTATTTTAAGCCCATAGTCATAGAAAAAGGTTAGCAACTGATAAAATCTTATTCTACACAATAATCTTTTGAGAAATTTTCCATCAAATACTAATCAAGTCTCAAAACATTTTCCAGAAGACTTGATAGAAAGGTTACAGTCTCATTCTCTTGATGATTTTTATGTAGTGGAATTCTAACCGTCAGCAAGTGTATCTAGTTGCTAAGGCAAGGTGTCATGCTCAACTTTGATAATTATAAATTGTCCTAAAACTGAAAAATATGTTTCACAAAGTTCAGTTGCCTTAATTTTTCCAGAACTATTAGTCCTTTTGAGTTTATAATGAGTAATTCACACTTTATGATGTTTGAAAGTGCGTACGCATTCTTATAATTTCTTTATTCTATCAATTCTTTGCATAATTTCAAGTTTCCATAAGACTTGTTAACATCGATTAATTTAATTAATACACCAGTACACAATAAAAAGAGGAAATTCCTAGTGCGTTTAGTACTTATTATTTTTCCTCTTGGGTTCCTAGTGGAACATAGGGCTGCAGTAGCACGTCTACATTCCACTCTCTTCTCTCCAGTCTTTTCCACCTCACTACACCACTCCAAAACTACCCACAACCTTTCATTTCTTCCTCACATCATCTCCTCCATGTCACCCTCGTCTCCGATGCTCAACTCGTCGTCTACCCTTTGAATTCCACTCGATGGCCTGACCTGGCGCGTGATGTCCCCAGTCGGCCTTCTCAGTGTATGCCCAGTCCAATCCATCTCCATTTTTTCTTCTGCATATTTGTTGGGTGATATGTTCTTGGTTGGTTCATTCCCAGAGTTCCTTGCTACTTATTCTTTCTGGCCATCCATCTGATCTTCAGTACTGAGTGAGTGGAGACGCAGCTGTTGATGTATGATGTCTGTATTTTGTTGGAAATGCTTTTCTGAATCATCATATGGAAGCACTGACTTGACATTAGTGTTGATTCCTAGTGCGTAATGAACTTTAATTTCACTTATGAGCTAACGTTATTTTAACAGTTAACTTATTATGCAGCTATTTGGGAATAAAAGTATTGCATATAATATAATATGCTTATGAAAATGTAAACTCTTCTCATAATCCTAATCGACTGTTGGAAAGAAAGAAAATACTTGGCAATGAGTGACTAAGAATCGATGGATGAATAAGTATCTGCATGTGAATAAATAACATATGAATAAGCTGCTCGAAAATGTTCAAATTATATTAAACTGAAATCTATTCATGATTGTTTCAGTATATCTTAATAGATTGACATGTCACGGTCACCGAGAAGTGCTCCATATAAAATGGTGTAACAACTCTTTGACGATGTACGATAGAAAGAGATAAGAAGCGAAAAAGGTACAGTAGAGAATAATTCAGAAAGATTAACACTAGTCATTTACAAATTGACAAAGAAACTACTGTCTATAATCTTAAATTTATGAAGCAATACAAATAGTTAGCAAAGAAAGAATATCCGTCAGGTACTATGCTATAACAACCAGTCTTGTATCACCTTTTAGAAAGGTTGAAGACAAGCTCTTCTAGTCTTTAATCTGAAGAAAGTAACAAGTCTGATAACGGTACCTTCTCATTTTTCAGTGAAAACAATACTGTTAAAACTTCAGATGTAAATATTTCCCTTCATTATTATTTATGCTGTATCTTGTTTTTCTACAATTTTTCGTGTGTTTATTCATAATACAAATGAATATGTTCCGATATAAAATATGATCACCTTAAAGAAAAAAAACTAATGACTGATTATCTAAAGCTTATGTCAACTGAAATTACACATGAGTTCATGTCTCCTTTTTATATATTTTTAAATCATCCTATGTTTACATTTATTTGCATTTTTAAAATATACACAACACCTAAATGGTATGTCACATGCACTTATTGATTTTCAAGACATAGAATGTGTAACAGATTAGATGTTTCTTTTCAAGTATATAATGGTTAAGTTTATATATATCTATATATTTGTATGTAAGTGTGAAATGAGATCAATGTTTGTCTTCCACTTTAGAAATCAATGTTATGTAAAATATAAAATGTTACACTACTTCTTTTGTATGCATTGTGTTAAGCTGAATTTCTCATACATTTAGACATCAGTTTATACTTAAACCTTTTTTTCATTTTTTTTCTCCATCCTATTCATACATTTACTGAGATTGTAGTCATGTGATCTCAGTATTCAATTTAAGTATTAAGTATGCTCATATGTCCATCTATCAAACTATTCTGAATTATCAATCAAACTCTGAAGCGAGTGAACGTACACTTTTTAATCTAATATGGGAAGTAGTGTGACACCAATGAATATGGCTTGAAATTAATTTGTCCTGTTATTATCATAGTTAACTCTCTACCTTAACTTTATCGTCTTTGAAAAGGACTTCAACAGAGTTGACCGACAAGTAATTTGGTAGTTGCTTCAACAATACGGAGTGCCATAAATCTTTATCAACCTCATTCAACAGCTATATGACGACACCACATCCCAAGCGATCCAAAATGGAAAGCTCATAAAGCCTTTGAAGTGAGGACAGGAGTAAGACAAGGATGCCAACAATCACCCATAATCTTTCTGATTGTGGTCGACAGGATCATGCAGCAAACCGTAAGGAGCGAGAAGAGGGGCACACGCTGGACCGATGAAAAGAGCCTGGAAGATTTGGATTTTCCCGATGATTTATGTCGCACAAACTCGAAGATCTACAAGGGAAAACCAACAAGTTGACAGAAGAGGCAGCGTAAATGGGACTTCAAGTGAACGTAGAGAAGATGGAGGTGATGAAGATACCTAACTAAAAACAGCATGAACAACAAACACCAATCACCATGAACGAGAGAAACCCAAAGAAAGTAGTCTGTTTCACCTACTTACCTACCTAGGCAGCATCGATTCACCTACAGGTGGCACAGACGAGGATGCCAAAACCAGGATCGAAAAAGCAAGACAGGCTTTCATCAATCTGAAGTCAGTATGGACATCTACTGGACTCAGCACAAAGAACAACATCCGGATTTTCAACACCAATTCAGTCAAGTAAGTGCTTCCATGTGGTGGTTCAGAAACTTAACGCGTCACGGAAAGCACTCTCAACAAACTACAGACATCATACATCAACAGCTGCGCCTCGACTCACTCAATACTGAGGATCAGATGGATGGCCAGAATAATAAGAATAAGCAACAAGGAACTCTGGCTAGCTAGCGATGAACCAACCAAGAACATATCACCCAACAAATATGCAGAAGAAAAAAATGGAGATGGATTGGATTGGGCATACACTGAGAAGGCCGACTGGGGACATCACGCGCCAAGTCAGGCCGTCGAGTGGAATCCAAAGGGGAGACGACGAGTTGAGCATCGGAGGTGAGGGTGATATGGAGGAGATGATGTGAGGAAGAAATGAAAGGTTGTGGGTAGTGGTGGAGTGGTGGAGTGGTGTAGTGAGGTAGAAAAGACTGGAGAGAAGAGAGTGGGATGGAGACGTGCTACTGCAGCCCTATGTTCCACTAGGAACCCAAGAGGAAAATAATAATGATAATAATTATTACTATTATGATAGTATCTTAGTGGGTTTGACAGTCGTCTCATCAATACTTATTAGCTGTATGAAATACAGCATTATTGTTCTAATTTATTCATTACTGTTCAAAAGAATGAAATGACTTCTAGTGAGTATGTAGTGACCAAAGTGACTACATGAATAAATTAGCATACGACATTTGCAAATTTCCTCGTCAACAGTACGCTCAGCATCAGTTAGATAAGCTTATGAGTATGCTTAAAGGTATGACAGCCTTATGAAGAAAATTTCGAGATGATAGTAGTTTTATCTGATAGGTTAGTATTGACATTTCTCACATAACAATACTTTTCAGAAAAATAACAGTGAATGAGGTGTTATGTTATGATGAGCAGTATCACTAATAGATAAGTCTTTGTGCATGGAGGTCAAACAATTTAATGAAGTTACACATACAACCTTAATCTTTTTAAAGTTCAAATTGGCGGAGTTGTGGAAATCATCAGAATAATACTTGATTATCAATAAGAAGACCAATCTATTGTAGAACAGTTCACTACATTCTTTTTTTCATCCATCAAACATGACTATTAAGTCGGGAGTATTAAGAAACTTTAAACTGTGTGATTATAATAATGATGGATAGGATGATTATAGGTTTCACCAAAGTGTTTCGATATCAGACTAACAGTCATGTGTAGGAAAGATAATCTAACCTATGTGTTTGTGTAAGTTTCCCATTTGGTTTCCTTGGTGCATCACTGTTTTCAGCGCTTATGAAAAGATTAATAATTAATAAGCCAAGATGATTCATGATCGTATACTTTTATCTGAATAATTATGTGCAGGAGAACATTAGAAATCAATACATATTGATCTTAAGTGTTTTAATGATTCCGATGAATTTACGCTTTGCTTTTCTGAGTTGTGAACATCGTTTCAAATTTCGTATAGCTTTTTTCTCACTTATTTTTTTCCTTATTCTTCTTCATATTCCTCGGTTCTGTTCTCTTTTTAATTAAAAAGTTAGACCGCGGCTCCAATTTACTAACCCCAACGTTCTGTTTTTTTCTACTATAGCGATTTCCAATGAATAATTTTAAGACAACTATATTACCTTATAATAAGTACATATTCGTACCAAATATTCGTTTTTTATTTCAAATTAACTCAATGTTTTCCTAAGCAAATTTTCAATTCTTGCGATTACCTTTGCCAAAATTTAAAGTTTAAAAATTCTGAAAAATAGATGATTCAACCAGGAATTATTATGTGAGTATTTTGCATACAAATATTTTGCATTTAGTTGAAAGTGATCTATAGAAACAAGCATTTGTATAACACTCATATTTATCTCAAAACTATACTAGACTTTTATCAGTCAGAGGATTGAGATTATGACAAGTCTTGAAGTATTCCAATCATAAGTTTATGGTTATCAGACTTTGTAGGATATGTAATAATCAGCTCGTCAACTAAAAGACATTGTGGTTGAAATATTTTCCGTACTAGCTAGCAGTAGCAGATATAATGAATTAATATATAGCATAATTTGAGCGGGGTAAATTATACTGATGAACCTCGCCTAGTTCATTAGTTTACTAGATGGTCCTAAACCGGGATAAAGACGAAAGGTTGGGCATAGGGCAAGCAACCCTACCCCCGAAAATCAATCCAATCGCTAAAAAAACTTCAAACCACAGAAAAAATAAAAATAAATAAACTTATTCCTTGCTGGAATCCGGGACACAAAATGATGCCAGTTGGTGAAAGCCTTCTGGAAGCCAATTGACCAATGCGTCATCTCTTCCCTCTATGAAAGCAAAAGAAAACGTAGGGACATGGAATGTCCGCACGATATCTAAAGCTGGCCGGCTGGTTGGCTGGCCGGCCAGGCTACCCAGATTGCAAAAGAAATGAGAAGATATGGATATGGCATAGAAGTGCTAGGAATCTGCGAAAGCGGACGGAATGGAAGCGAACTCTCCCAACTGTCAACTGGAGAGTCAATAATCTACTCTAATATTGTCGCCCAGACAACAACCACGAGGACACTGAGTTTTGGAGTGACATTCATAATGTCCCGAAGGGCATCGAAGTCTCTCATGCAGTAGGAGCCAATCTCCTCCACGATCATCGTAGGAAGATTCAAATCAGAATGGAGGAGAGCTACAATCATAGACTGCTACGCTACGCTACGCACCTACAAATAATGGAGAGCGAGACAGGAGGGAGGAATTCCTTAGACAACTGCAATCAGTAATGGACAAGACCTAACTAACCCTAGTTGGCGACATCAAGATTCTAATATGTGGGGTGACATGAATGTCAAAGTGGGGAGAGGGGATAACACAGGAAGAGAACTCATCCATCATGGGTGGAGAAACACTCGGTGAAATGAATGAGAATGGAGAACTGTATGCAGACTTCTGCGCACTCAACGATTTGGTGATTGGAGTCAGGCAGTGTGTACCAACACAAGGATATTCACAAGGTGAGCGACGTTGATTTCAGCGGACACCAGGACACACTAGAAATGAGATCGACTTCATTCCAATGTGACTAAAGTGGAGATGGAGACGCAGCCAGCCTACTGGACGCTAGATCAGATGAAGAAGGGGAGCAGATGTGGGTTCACACCACTGACTATCTGGTGCAAGGAACCTAGCCTGAGAACCAAGTTGGGAGCCAAAATCAAAGAAGCTGGTGATAGATCACACCACAGTTGAAGTTGAGCACCCAGAACAAGAAGTGAACTGAAGAATGAGACTAGAAGAACATCTTCACATTGGGCAGTCATGAGGAAAAAATGTGAGACATTTGGCCGGGGACCCGTGGGACAGAAACTGCATGGAAGAACACTGGAACTGTGTGAAAACGATGTGGAAGGAAACCTGCATAACCGTGTTAGGAAGTAAGAAGAAGGAGAAGCAAGACAAGTAATGGTTTTCTGCAGACACGTGTAAGCTGAAAGAGAATTGAGAGGAAGATGGTGAAGCAGTGAACCAGATGAAGCAGTGCAGTGCAATGCAGTGCAGGGATGAATAACGAAAAGAGTAACTGAACACAACGTGTGAAACACTACACTTGAGAAATAAGTGAAGAAGGGTGTGCCGAAAGAGGAAAGACACTTCTACGACTCACTTGTAAGTGAAGGAGAAGGAAGCACTGCAGGTAGGCGAGACAGAGACCTGACAACATTATATCAAATGAGCAGGTTACTATCTGTGAGGGAATAGAACAACGGAGATGAAAGCAATGAAAGATAGTGAAGGAAGGTTAGTTACCACTAGAGAGGAGAAACAAAGGAAGCGATGAGCCGACCACTTCGGAAAGTTCTTGAATTGACCATTTCCACCACCACCACCAGCAGCATCTGCAACTGGTCGAGAAATGCCACTAGCAGCAACCGAACTATTAGTGAAGACAAACAGTCCGACAAAAGTCGAAGTGCTGAGTGCGACGCCACAAGGTTGCTGAAGTCCAGGAAAGCAGTAGGACCAGATAGAATTGCTCCAGAAGCACTGAGAAGAGACTCAGAGACAACAGTGGACATGCTGACACCACTGTTGCAGAAGGTTTGTAAGGGAGGAAGGAAGGAGGGAAAGGTACCTACCAGTTGATTTTAAGAAGGGCTACCTTGTCAAAGTGGCGAAGAATGATGACCTAAGTGTTTTTAAGAAGTGGTGCGGAATCATGCTCCACCTCTGTCCACCCCTAGGAAGATATTGAACCACATGATCCTGGAAAGGCTTAGAAATGCTCTGCATTCAACAGGATTGCGACCGGAACAGGCTGGTTAGCTGGCTGACTGACTGACTGGCTGGCTGGCTGGCCTCCAGATGAGGAAATCATGTGCTGATCGAAGTGCAACGCCACGCCACGCATCATCATGGAACAGAGGATAGAATGGCAGTCAACTGGATCTTTACCTCAACTTCATCGATTTTGGAGAGGCCTTCTGTGGCTTCAACACTATGGTTTTAGTGTCACAAACCTTTATCAACCTCATTCAACAGCAGCTATATGCTACATGATAATGATGCTACATGGTAAGTGATTCACAATGGAAAGTGGCTCAATGATACCTTCGAAGTGAAGACAGGAAGGAGTAGGACAAGGTTGCCGCCTACTGTCACGCAACAGATAACTGTGATGAGCTGTGAGAAGAGAGGCATAGGCTGGCCGGAGCAACGGAAAGACCTCAGAAGATTTGGATTTCCCTGATGGTGACCTGTGTCTAATATCGCACAAATTGGAAGATCTACATGCGAAAACTAACAAGTTGTCAGAAGAAGCAAGGCAGGGCAGGTAGGCAGGCAGTCAGAACAGGGCAGCGAAGACGGGACTTCTTCAGGTGAACATAGAGAGGACAGAGTTGATGAAGATACCAAAGCAACCAAGCAACCTCAATAAGATGAAGAAGAAGAAGCACCAATCACTGTCGACAGGAGAAATCTGAAGGAAGTAGTCTATTTCACCTACCTACCTAGATAGACAGCATCGTTTCAACTACAGTTGGGGGTGGTGGCACAGATGAGGATGTGAAAGCAACCAGGATCGGAAAGACGACAAGACAGGCCTCCCTGCGTTAATCTGAAATCACTGCAGGCTATTGGACTCAGCGTAAAGAAGGAGATGAGGATTTTCAACACTAATTCAGTACTTGTATGTGATGGTTGAGAGACTTGGCGTGTTACACAAAGCATTTGCAACGAACTGCAGACATACATGACATCAACAGCTGCCTTGAGTGGAACGCGAAGTGGTTGGGTATCGGATTGTGACATGGATGAGATCGTGCGAGGAAGAAATGATAGATTATGGTCAGTGGTGGAGCCATGTTGAAAAGACTGTAGAGGAGAGAGTGCAATGTCGACAGGCTACTGAAGTTCTATGTTGCACTAGGAACTCAAATGACAACTAAGGATGGTAATAAATTATCCTGATTATATATATATATATATATATATATATATATATATATATATATATATATATATATATATATATATATATATGAAATACTTTCAGTGTTAAATGTGCGGAACTGATGGATAAAATAATACTGACCTGCTCTGATAACGCTAATGCGGACCAAGCTGAATGTATCGAATTGCGGACTGTATTCAGTGATCCAGTATATACATTATTATCAATTGTATTTTGAGAAATATGAAGATCGGTAGCTTCAGATACACTTATTGAACTGTTAACGAACAAGTGGTCAGGGTAAACCCGATCGAGTAATAGTAGGGTATAGTTTAAATGCCATATTAGTGCTAAATCAAACTGTTTCCAACCGGAAGTTCTAATATCCTGATCATTTTTGTGGTTTTTTATTCCAGTATCTTCATTTATTCCTAGTGAATGTAAAGAACTCGAAATGGATGATGTTTCTTGGTCCTCAATATCTTCGGTATTTGATTTTTCTATTTCATCCAAATATGCCAGTGATTCCCATAGGGATTTTAAAGTATTTTGCTTGTCAGTATTCCCCTCAAATGTTCCTGAAAAGTCTGCTTTTTTTGGTGAAGCAGATAATGAGGTGTAACTTTGAGGCTGTTCTGTCATGAGAAGTTCAGTAAACTGGTTTGAATTCTTCTCTAACTGCGTTATAAGATTTGTGAGTGCCTTATCCAAATCCTAGAATATAACGAAGGTAATAATCGCTTTTAAAATAAAAGATGATAATTCGGATTAGGAAGTATAGCCAATGAATACTAGTTTTTATCAAAAGATAAAGAATTTTTGGAAAATTTTACCACTTAAACGGATAACTAATTGTGAGAATCATCATGTTATCTTGTCTGCTCGTTAAGTTTCGCTCATGTTTCAGTTAATTAGAGTGAATTATTGTTGTATTTCAACAAATGAATATTACATTGTTAGAACAGCATAGTCTTAGCCAGTGATATATACTACCTTGTAGTATTCATGCTACTAAAACTACAACCTTTTGAAAAATAAACGAGAAATCGGATAGTTTAGAGATACTTTACTAAGCTTTCGCTGTTAAAATAATTTATTGAGTTTCTAAGCAATATTAATCAAGTCAAATCGTTTATATGGATAGAACATTTTGTCCATTTTGTTAGAACATTTAACATGAAGGTAAATTTAACTGGTGATAATGAGTTTGCATGTATCTAAAGTTTCTGAACATCTGTTCCAGACTCATGTAATATCCAACAGTACACATATGAAGCACATCTACCTATCCCTAAGCCTTGTGAACGAAACAACCGTTTTTAAGAAGTTAATCGATTCGGTCTTTCCCATCTAATTTTTTAATACATAAATATATCATCAAGGTACTAGAACACGTTTTGAAGCTTGTAGTTTGTAAAATAACTGCTTATTTTGAAGGTAGTTTCACTACTGGTCTTAATCAACAAGTCTTGTTTTCTTCTGCTATATTTCAGCAGAGATGTTGAAGATACCGCACCACCGCCATCAACAACAACAACAAACTCCAGTCACCATCAACGGGAGAAACTTAAAGGAAGTAACCTCCTTCACTTATCTAGGAAGCACTGTTTCAACTACAGGCGGGACGGACGAGGACGTCAAAGTCAGAATCGGAAAGGCAAGACAGGCGTTCATTAGCCTGAAACCAGTGTGGAGATCTTCTGCACTCAGCATTCGGAACAAGATACGGATTTTCAACACCGACGTCAAGTCAGTGTTCTTGTATGGTTGAGAGACATGGCGCGTCACGAAAGGGATTTCCAATAAACTACAGACATTCATCAACAACTGCTTACGCTGGCTCGCTACTGAAGATCAGATGGATTGCCAGAATAATGAGAATAAGCAACAAGGAGCTCTGGGAACGAACCAACCAAGAACCTATCAGTCAACAAATATGCAGAAGGAAGTGGAGCTGGATTGGGCATGCACTGAGAAGGCCGACTGAGGACATCACGCGTCAGGCCAGTACCTCGAGTGGAATCCCCATGGGAAGCGACGAGTTGGGTGTCCGAGGGTGACATGGAGGAGGTCGTGCGAGGAGGAAATGAGAGCTTCTGGGCTGTCGTGGGACCAGGTTCAAAAGATCTCAGAGAACAGAGGTCACTGGTGACGTGCTACTGAAGCCCTATGTTCCACTAGGAACCCAAGGGACTAATAAATAAATATAATAATAATATTTCAGCACTACTTGATCATGACTAACGGAAGCACTAGTCTTAGGATAATAATACTTCTCAACATTGTTAGATTTTTTCGCTTCCTGCCCAAGTACACAACGTACCGTTTTAAACTAATTAATTGGTAGTAATGCAGTCCTATTTATTCTAGTACATCGAGTACAATTATGTCAGTAAGATACAAACAATTTTGCAAATATTAGGTTTTTAACTTTTTCAGTAATTCGTAGAATTTAAACACAGAGCTAACTACTCAGATTATGAACGATTTTCGAAAATAATCGAATATATCTTTTAGATCCTAATGACCTTATCCTCCAAGTGTCCTACCAATATCTTTTTCTTCAAAAATTATGCATAAATATGTGAAGATGTTTGTGTATATTAACAAGCCCTTGTATTATATCGGAAACTTAGAAGAAATTAATTTTCACAAGTCGACTTATTAATAAAACGACTGAATCAGTCTTAGAGTTTTATACACCCTAAATGACAAGCTATATCAACAAAAAGCACCTACACATGACGTAATTAAATACATATTTTACACAGATTTATTTACATTCGCTTTCATCACGTACTGTTTTATCGAATAAGAGAGGAAACAATTCAGTTGCTTCCTGTCTGCACTTAGTATTTCTCAAACAAAACAATCGTAAAGTATTTATTCTCATTTTAATTAAGAAGTGAACAGAGTTTAAGATTCATGTATTTCTGACAAACATGAAATGCAGTGTCTCTGCAATAACTATAAAGCGGTGGTTGGAAAAGTCTCTTATGTTGACCAACCATTTGGAGAAAACAAAACTTCACGTTGTTTAGTTCATAATACTGATCGAACCTAATGTGGTCATCGAGTTAAAAACAGGAAGCATCATATTTCTTGTGTTTTGCAGATCTTTTCTGACCAGTACAAACAAATATCAGACCCAAGGTCAGGGGTACCTGTCAAGTGTCTTCAGTCATCTAACAAAAATATTTCTCCATTAGCAAGAATAGTTTTGAATGGAACTTCAACAAGATTATTGGTAGTGAGTGGTATGTTCAACCAGTCAGTTTAACCAAACCACTTCATTTGGAGAACATGCTTAGTTTGCCTAGAATGCCTACATGTATGCGTCCTGAAGCTTTCACTGGTTACACCTGTTCTATGTTACTAAAATTAATATTACAATCCCACTTGTTATCCAATCAAGTACTAGTGAGACTACGATAAAACAAATGCCAGTACTGAGGTTGTTTAGACTATCCGAGTTTGGGACTGATATTTATTACTTCACTAACTGCATACACAAATAACAGTTACAGTTCATATTCTTCCCATGTAGGTTAGGGTGTCCAAGACTTTTTGGCGAATAAAGAATTCCCGTTACACCACTAGCTAATTCTATGTTTCTAAGATATCGTATTATTAATAAGATTTCCACAGTCTTATGAGCAAATGTTTCAATTTGCTTTGTAAAAAGGAAACAAGGTTTTCCGAGCACTATTGAACTAAGTTTACTGGTACATAACCTTGACACATTAGTTTTCTTAGGATAATCTCAGTTTTGTGGAACAGAGGTATCTTTTTATCAAAGGTAGTTCCCCTTACTTTTCTATTTTTCTAACGTATTTATAGTAGTTCAAAGACTGTATTACGAGGAATAATGAAACGGTAGTGATTGTTTTCAATTCAATGTATCTATGCTAACATAAAAGTGCTCAAGGAATCGGGTTAGTTAGTAACTGACATCTTGACAGCATATTATCGATTATTGTCCGATTAAGCTTCAAGTAAATGATGGCTTTTATAAGTGGAATTTTAGCTAGAAGGTAATGAAACAAAATCTTATCAAATGAAAAGGTGAAAGGGTATTTTGACCTTGAGAAGTCCCGATTGATCACCATGTATTCTTCTTTTAGCATCAACTTTATCCTTGAGTTTATTTATTTTATCAGACAATTGTCCGTTTGTTGATTTTGATGCCAATTCTGGTGGCCTTGAAGTTTGCAATAAACCTATTTTCACAGGTACAAAGTTATTATCGATTAGTGACCCTTCTTGTGATCTGTCTTTGGTTCTATTTTCTTTTTTTGCTGTATCTTTTTCAGAAATGTAAATATGATCATCCTACAAAATGAAGAAAATGGAAAACTGTTTATGAGATCAGTTATAAAGTTGGCAGTAAATTATTTACAGTACATTCACTTACATCCTTGTGCTGCTTAGAAGCAGGATAATTGTAATTATTATTTTTGGTGTTTATAACATTAGTGGTATTAGTAGCTGTATTGATGCCATTGTTCTGATGACCATTTTTGATTCCTGTATCAGGTTGTGTGCGTACAGTAATCACTTTCACTACATGTGACTTTATTTCCGAATCACTTGCCTCATGCGTTATTTCAAGGTCCTATGAATTTTAAAATATAAAAAAATAACTAGATGATACATAGGTAGCTTGAAATAAGCTTGTTCTTCAGTCAAATTATACAGTATCATACACAATATTTGTAGTATAACTGCTGTATTTCTTTTATATTGGGAGTAGAAACGTCAACTTTTTTATGTTTTTCTTATGCTATGCTTATATTTTATTTAACTACACTGCACTGTGTACTGTATTATGTACGTTCCTAGTCGATAAATGTAATATGCGCTGTTCTCATTTATTATCTTAAGCATATTATTTAGATATCTGCTCCTTTGTCACAATAAGTGAATGTATTACCACTTAAATTCAACGGCTGTTTTTTTGTCAGGAATCAGGAGTCATTTTCAGTTAGTCAAACATAAGTGATATAGTGAACATCCACTGGTTTGTATCGATTGTTTTATGATTTAGCTGATCATAACCTACTATTGTTACTCTTCAATTTGCAAGAAAGGGCTTTAGTATAGTCTTAAAACGGTTTGAAATCACTCATAATACTTTTACTCATATTCGACTTCATCATTAAGTATGCATTAAGAATCATTATCAAATAAGTCAGCTCACAGGTATCAGTGATCATCTTAAATTATTATTTTGATTAAAATTGCCATGCATCTAAAATATATACCATAGCAGAGGTCAGTATTATTATGTTGCATTCACTTCGATCACAGAAATTAATACTTAGCATGAAGCTGATTAAGAAATTCAACAATTTTTCCATAATGTCATGGATGATAGATTGAATAGTAAGCAGAAGATTATTCAAATATTTTAGATGGTTCGTCGGACTATTAAAAGGTTTGATAACTTATCAACTGAAGCTTCCTGTCGCATATTTGTTTGTCATATAAACATATCTACTTGTAACATACAGAATTCATCAAGTCCACTCTGGCTCTCATCAGCTTTATTTTATAGCTCATCATCGTTAATACGATATAAAGATGGATAGAGAAACCAGAGACATCAAGAAATGCAGGTCGATCACTTAGTGATAACCTATCATCTCAAAATTTTACAAGAGTCCATTAAAAGGGTTTCATTTCTGATAACTCCCCAAGAATTTCTTGTGACTGTATTTATTCATAAAATCACCCGAAGTATGTCCAGTGAACTGTCTGAAATATATAATAGATTTGCATTTTAAAAGGTCTTAGGTAATTCGAGACATCCAAACCGTTTCACAAAACACAAGGAATAACAATATCCTTATAGTTCCTCAAAATTGTTTTCAGGCTGAATTGCCCTCACAAATAAATTTTTATTTTAAATGTAATAACTGGAAACTGCTCAGTTTTGCAAAATATATTTTATACGGGAGACTATTTTGCCAGTTTCCATAGAGAAATCTTTTATCCACAGAAAGAGAGACAAATCTAAGTGATTGGAATAATGGTAACAGACAGTCAACCTAGGAAGCAGTACAAATGCAACCGGTAAGAATACGATGTTTAAGAAATGGGAAATTTACTGTCATATAACATAAATCATAATGCTTTAGATTAGCTTTACTGAGCCATATATTGATCTGTAAGTACAAGCGAATTTGGATACTATTCAAAGGAACCTCACAACTAACTTTTTTTGTCAATGCTGTCTGATCAGCTAATTCTTAAGCCTATTTCTGGAAGTCTGAACCAGCGTTAATTTATTGTCTGAGCTCTGCTACTCAAAATGTGGAATAAGTCTGTTGGTTTGTAAATCTAGGATTCTCAGATTGCATTTCAAACATTTTGAAGTTTTAACAATGGCATTTGCCCATAAAAATTTAAGGTAAACAAATAAAAATCTTTCAAAAGTCTATTGATGCTTAATGAATGCCTTTTTTGACATACTATAACTGAGTTACAATCTGTAAATATTCAGTCATTAATTAAATCAACAGAGTTTAGAGATAAATATATATTTCATAGTATGCAATTGACTTACGGGCAAAGAGATCCACTTTGAAATCTTTGGAACATATTTATTGGGTACATATCGTCTACTCGGATTCGCTCTATTAGATCGTACTGTTAAAATCGTTATACTTCCTTTATTTTCTAAATCACTAGAATCTGGGTCATCTTGTGGAACAATGAAGTCACTTGAACAAGCTTCAGTTCTAAGTAGATTAGATAAGTGATGTTGGTTATTGTATCGATGATCTGCTTTATGAGAAAAAGAATCTGTATTCAATCTTCGTATCCGATGACATTCGTCTTTAGACGATGATTCACTTATTTCCTGATCATTTAAAATAAATCTTATACTAGATTCTTTTTGTTTGTGTTCATCCATAAAAGTTGCCAGTTGAGCTGCCGATAAGTTGTAGAACAACATTCTATCATCTTTTGTGTCAGCTAGAGGGCTATTTTTGAAAAAGAGTTTGAATAATAATAATCTAAAAATGTGTAACACATACACATATAAATTTATATACTTCTTCCTACCTTACAACAAAATAAAATTTAGGCTACTGGATTATTAAGAAATTATTCACCGATTATTATTTTGATACAAACTTGTAAAAAGCCGAAATCATATGCACCAGTTTAAATGCCTTAAAGTAGGTTAGTAGTGAGCTTTTGCCTCATGCTTAATCAATACTAAGAGCTGTTAGTAATAATAATTGTAATTAGTTTGGCGGTTTTGAGTAATGCATTAGTTTGAAGAGAATTATTGAGTCAGTATAGGTTTGTGAACCACAAGTGGCATTGGAAATGCTCAACCATTAGCACTCTCTAGTCTTTTTGGAACAAGGCTCACAACAATTGGATCTTGCTTAGCTTCTGCAATCAAGCTGAATGGTTGGAAAGTTTTGTTAAGACACAAGCCAGTCGTTAGATATGTTGAGATTTTGAATATACTAATGAGAATCTTTGGTTTATGAGGTATACCACATACTTACTAAACCTACATATCTACTAATTTAAACGATGTTCTCATAATATCTGAGGGGAACCTAGTTTACAAATCGAAACCAATGAATTATCATAAAACCATTAAAAAGTAAACTACTCTCATCAAAACCTATAGCTGCTTGGTTCGATTCCCAAACAGAAAACTGCAGTACACAAAAGCAAGCTACCCACCAAGAATGACATTTGACATACATTATAATCAGGTACCGATGTCTGCTAATTGTACTGTCTCTAATATATCGTATTTTATTCACAGCTGAAACATGAAACATAGCAGTGAGCTGACTCAAGAGGATAGATATTGAACACGATATTTCGGAAACAACTGATAGTAAAAATTAAGCAGTGATGGTCTAAATAGTAAGATACAACTTTCATTTTGAGGATTTTAGAATGTCTCTTCCTTTATATGTGAAAGATTGTGAAGTGGTATTCAGTATTTGCAATAATGTGGTCAAAATAAAAATACATTCACGTAGTAAACAGTCATAACCACTGCGATGGATGTAACTTCAGCTAGATGCAGTAATTGAGTGTAACACTGCAAGATTTTCATTTACACAAACTACAGTATATTTGTACGCCATTCTCAAACCTAATAAAATCTATGCTACCTATGTAGTTGACAGTACTTCATAATACATAGCTACTTTTCTCAAAACAGGGAGGCTATATATTTCTCGCTTCTTCAGTATCCTGTTGTCCGAATTATGTGTTTTTCAACTTTTTATAGACGACTTTTCAATGTTCACAAGTCAAGAATTCGCCCTATGACTGTAAGACATACTCTGGTCAATGAATTCATATTCTAAATGGATTGCTTCTGAATGTTTCTTATAGTGAGATTGAAAGTCGTTCTTTCAATTCCTACGTAAATACCGACGATTTGAGCGTCCGAGATAGACATGGAGGAGATGGTGTGAGGAAGAAATGAAAGCTTGTGGGCAGTCGTCGAGCCATGTTCAAAAAACTGCAGAGAACAGAGTACAATCGAGGCATGCTACTGAACCCTTTTATTCGACTAGAAACCCAAGGGGCAAATAATAATAATGTAAATACTATTCGGAATATTGTACAAAATTATAAACTGCCATTGGATTAAATCAGGAAGGACACACCGAAACAATCACAAATACAGATACTTTCGAAATAAACTGATTAAGCTTAACTGTAATGTGACAACTGGTGATTAATATTAATTTTTTATTTTTCTTTTATTGAGCGAATATATCCTTTTATAACCATTTATTTTCAATATACTCATGGTTATCTTTATATGAATATTAATCAAGTCAATAAAAAGTTGAACTAGTTCGTATAATTAAGGATTTGCAATTCTTATGAGTTATTCACTGTAACAATAGCTAGAATTCTTTAATATTTTTAGTTGCCCTAAAGTCACATAAGGACATTTTTACATATAACCACACTGAGATCTAATAGCAGCTTCATGTATTGTAATCATTGCAACTCAGCAGTTTGCGGAAATATTGTTTGGAGGTGGAGGATAGCAGTTTTTGGACCCAAGACTAAATTGTAAACTAATATTGGGATTCCACTATACTTAGTTTGTTAAAAAACATGATTTTATTCCTGCCGCTCCGTTTATTTAGGAAATGGAGTGGAAAGTTTCACATGACAGTGTTTTCAGCCCACGGTATATCACAGAAGAAGCTGTATAAGCATCTTTATGTCCACTGTATTCTGATCCAGGAGATGAATAGTCAACGTACTCGCTGCGAAACCTGACGATTCTGGGTTCTATCTTTGGTAGGATCACGGGTACGCAGTACGGAAGTCTCACACCAGGACCGAATACCTGTACAGTGCTCTCAAGCTTTTAATGGTTCTAATGATATCCAGTCGTGATGAATATTCCTTTGAAATCAAAAGTTTTGCCTGGGTAAAGTGAAGTTCAGATAGTACCCGTATTATCACAGTATTCTCAACCCAAGGCTCAAGTATCCATTGATATGACAAATTTAAAATATTTTTTTCAAAATATAAATATTCTTTTCTGTTTTTTCATGCTAGATGACAACAATTATTTGAATTTATTCCCAGTGTGTCAATGCAAACATGGGACCTGATAATACTGCATACCTGTTGAAGTCGCCACTACCACACCTCAGTATATCGAGATACGAAGCAACAAGACAGAAAATACAGAAACTCGAAAACAAAACGAAATGCAAAACAATAAAACTAATGAGAAGAGAAAAGGGAGATTGCGTAAAGCAAACAAAGAGATGTTATATAAGAGACTGAGGGTTTATTGTCTATTTTACTGTTAGTCATTATAAGTACTACCTAAAAACTGAAGACAATTACTTTACATTTAAAAAACCTGTTTTTCAAGCCAAAGAGAGCAAGTACTGGTAGTATTAATTAAATCCATGAAAAATTTATCCATTGTGTAGAGAATCAGTTTATTATAAATATATTCGTAATGAATATCTACATACAATGATATTATTTAATTTTGATCCAAATATTACCAAAATTAAATAAAATCATGGTGTGTAAATATTCATTAGAAATATATTTAAAATAAATTGATAGTATTAGTTGCTGGAAGAAGTATATTGGGGTTAAATCTATTTAGCATTCGATTTATTGTAAGTGGATCAGACAGTTAAACAAGGTAATATGGATAGATGCCTTTAGAATTGGTCCTGAAGTAAATTTAATTTAAAGTTTCAGTCATAGGGAATGCACTAATCAATGGGATATATAATCTTAAAAATGAGGAAACTATCAGACAGCTTTAATTCAGTAGACTGCTTCAATGCAATCGGATGATAATAAGCGTTAAAACTTAAATTTGAGCCCTGATAGGGTTCAGACCAGCGACCTCTGTGGCTATTTTACCAGTAGAATTGCCTGTATATTATGCTAGAGATGAAAGCAGTTAGAAACGTGATTATCTTTGTCTTATTCCTTGTTTGATATTCATACTTTCTGCTAGTTTATTATATTTGTCTTCTTTCTCATGTGATTTGGCTAGTTTATGTTCTAGGCTAATATAATTCAATCTGCATATCATTCTAATAGTTGTTTTAAGTGGTCAAAGCCAGATGCACTTATCTGCCTTACCAGTTATTATCCTCACTCAATTATTCTGATAGAGATACACCAAAAGTGTTTACTTTTGTTTATAATTTTAATTAGTATATATCTAAAGATTCTATTTTTCAGTACTGATAACTTCAAATTTTCCTGATTGCGTCTGTCGCAGAAAGGACTATAACCCTTTCTTCCAACGGTTCAGAGCTCATCTGTTCGAGTAACTAAAAAGCACTCTCTGACGTTCATTCACATACTCGGGAATTCACTAAATCAGGCTAATAGTTATTTATATTATCTACTTTCAGGCGAATAACTAAATCAAATGCCAATGAAAATGAATTACACTGCTAGTATTTCAGACAACTAATTTTTTATTTGTCAACTTGTGAACAGAAATTATATTGTGATTAACTTGCAGTTAGTAATTAACTATTGCTATAACTGTTGTGACTATTATGTCATTATTATTATATATTATTATTAGTCCCTTGTGTTCTTAGTGGAACACAGGGCTTCAGTAGCACGTCTCCATTGCACTCTGTTCTCTGCAGTCTTTTGAACATGGCTCCACGACAACTCAGAAGCTCTCATTTCTTCTTCGCACGATCTCCTCCATGTTAACCCCACATCTAAAGCCCAACTCGCCGTTTGCCATCTGGGTTCCACTCGAGTGCTTGGCGCGTGATGTCCTCGAATGGTTTTCTCAGTGCATGCCCAGTCCATCTCCACTCCCTTCTGCATACTTGTTGAGCGATAGGTTCTTGGTTGGTTCGTTGCCAGAGTTCCTTGTTGCCTATTCTATCCGGCTATCTGAGCTTCAGTATCGAGCGAGTGAAGGTGGCAGTTGTTGATGAATATCTGCAGTTTATTATTATGTCTTTAGGGAGATATTAATTATTTCATGGCGACCAGTTATTTACCTTTTAATAAAGATAATATTCATTTATTCGTGCTTTTTAGTGGAAAATTAATGACTTACCACCACTTTAGGATAAAGTGGAACTGAAGATCAGTGAAATGTTTTAGTCCAACTGATATGTGATGGCCTTTATAGGTCAGTAAATTAACAATATCACACGCCTGTTGTATAAACACCTCCGGTTTTCCAAACCTTTTCAACATAACAGCCTGTATAATATTTTTAAAAAAAATCCAAATGATAGAACCAAAGTTTTACTGAAAAACTGTTTTGTTGACTTCATATATACTGTCTTCAAAAAAGTAAACACTAGTTGATTTCAGAATATTTTTTCACTGACATTATGTGTATTTCATAGAGTGAACGGTTTAATTTTAGCAGGGTTTAAGGTGTCTTTCTAATGATTTCAGGACCTGTTAAGTCTGTTGCATTACATTCTAAGAAATTACTGCTTAACTTACTGATTCATAGTGCTATTAATGAATTCATTTCTAGGTATGAATTTCTAAAGTGATCCCCTATAGATTAGGATACATCTTGGCAAAGAAATCATGATACCAAAATATGCACAGTTTCAAGTGAAATCTAACAGTGAAGTTTCCCCAATAATCACCTCCAGATAGCAAGAATGGAAGCTGTACTAGAGTAGCTGTGAACCATTCACACCAATCAGTCCCGTTCATTAGTTAGATCAAAGTGACCTGAACAGTGGATAACAATCTGCTGCTCACATCCTACTGGTCTAGTAGTGTCAATTGGTATGAGAGGCTGGGGACTACTCTTATCGGTCAGCAAAATACATTTTAAGATAAATTCACTTTTTTAATACATTTGGGCATCTGTAGTCCTCATTTTTTCCCAAGCTTGTTGAAACTTATTACGAAGGTTTCAGTGGTCTAAATTTATTTGAGCCATCCATCGAATCTACCCACTGAATGCTTGAATAGTGGTTAGCCATTCCCATTAATATCCTCTTATAATATTGCACACGTTTATTCGTAATACATTGTGAATATTAGTCTATTTATGCTGGATGGTGATCCAAGGTGAGGACCGCAGCCCGATTTTCATCTCACTTTCAGGCATCACCCAGTATAAATGCTAGTCTGCCAAACTACGGCGATCTCGGACACTTAAATGATATTATAAGAATCCTGAGCAGGGAGATAAAATCTGAAATGATGTTACTGAAGACTAAACTTCTTATACATTTTTAAGTGCCCTCTAAATGTGGTGGAAATTCTACAACACTGTTATGCATTAGGACCGTTAACCTATTTCATTTATTTTCTTAATTTCAATCATATCACTTATTTAGAATGTCGTAATATACTTTAAACAGACAGCACCGAAGATAAGCATTGTAAACTGAATGTAATATACAGTAGATAGATAGATGGATGAAGCCACATAGAACATGTCACAGAAATTTATCGCTTCACTTTCTTACACCTTATTATACCATGCGGAGAAATACATAGAAAAAGTGATATTAAGGGAAAAAAAGTATATGAGATGACAGAGAACCACTTGATGTTTCCACCTTCCACACAAGTACACGGAGACTCCTCTTCTCTCTCTTCTTCCCTGAATTTGAGTCATTGACTGCATTGCAAGCACCTACCTCATTAGGACCTCCAGTCATACATTGTTTGTCCCCACCGATGATTTAAGACAGCATCCTCCATCTGTGTCCATCGATAGTTTGGTATCAGAAGACAGTGGGTGAGACGACCTATCTACACATATTTGCAATGAGTGCTGGCCACGAACAACTGCCTATCAACACAATATTGTTAGAGACGGTCAGCGTTGTTGGCTCGTTGGCATGAGATATCATAAATACTCCCAAAACGCTTGACTGTCTGACTGACTGACTCAGCTTCTCTGCATGTGCTCTGAAGTCGTTTGCTGCCTACTACGACTGTATCTGAAGGCTTTGATTTATGTATCGAAATCGACAGCTTATGGTAGGATCGCACTCCCCCATTATCCTAACTGCAGTTACTTGAAGTCTGAACGGATACTACGAACAAGAGTCGTTGAGTGATATAGTGTTTTCCAGTTGTTACAGATCCACTCTCTCGAACAGCACATAGACGATCATCGACTTGTATCCGGTTGGGAGGTGCACGTTCTCCTCCACAACTGGATGCAATGCTTACACCTGTTAGTCCACTGTGACTTACTGCTGAGTCTGCAGAGACTCACGAGTTGAATTTTGCAGATTCACCATAATGGCCAGGCGACATCACGTAAATGACAACACTCAGGTTCTACTTGCCTGTCTCAAAAACATAACATAGATCCATGACTCACGATTCCAGAGTTTTGGTAAGAAATGTCTGTTGTTCGATTTGGCATATATTTAGTACATTAGGAGTTTGAATGTTGAGTGGGCAGCATTGCTTTAGAAAACTAGGGATGGTGTTTAGCTAGGTTGAATTGTTAACAACAGTCGTCAGACGGGAAGTTGAAGAAGATATAATTGGCTTAATAATGGTGTCAGAAAGTGAGAGCAAGTGGGAGGATATAGGTGTGTATTGTAGAATATGCTTAGTTGGATTCAGTATGCTGTTTGGAGACTGTGGTTGTTTGGTATTTCTCCACTCCTCACTCTATCGAACTTTTGTCTGTAAGTTGTTTTTCTTAATGGAAAATGGATTCAGGATTATGTTGTGTGACCGCACAGCAGAAAGAACATTTGTATTCTGCCGGTTACAAAGAGGATATTTTAGGGTTTCTGATCAATATTTTATTTTTTGTACCTTGTAGTAGAAAATCTCCTTGCACTTGCACTCAATTATCGTGTTACAGGGAGTGTTTGCTATCTGGTGGCAGATATTTTCTACTCTTCGCTTCTGATTCAGAAGCCGTTATTTACTAAGAATGCTAGGCATCTGAGGGAGACAACTTACCTACCTAACTTGGGCCAAGGTTTTTATTTCATTTTTTAGGGTGTTTTTCTATTTAAAGAAGTGGAACTTTTCACAGTACGGCACACACACCATGTAACTTCTTTTTAATCTGCTAATTTTTTGCATTCTGCAAACGAGAGGCGATAAAGAAAGCAGTTAGTTTTGATCATACCTAGTCCTTAGAATGAATCGGTAAATGTTATCTTGTTTAATTTCGTCGCATTTATTATACGAGGTGTCAATCGACGTTATTTTATCTTGCTACGCTAAAAAAAATTGGCCTCACAAAGTAATATGTTCATCAACGTTTAGTATGAACAGTCTTTTCTTGACATTCGTTTGTCATTCTTGGTATATCTTGTGTTACAAGGATTTTGGTTCATGCAGTCAATACAATTTCTTTTCATCGTTTTCATGTACAAACCAGTTTGATCCTCTGTGATATCTCTTTGTGTTCCCCTAGCTTTAAAGCTTGTTCTTGAACGTTTAATCACTAGACTAGGTGACTTCTTACAAAAGTGAAGTATTTTTGTGTTACATTGATTTTTATCAAGGATATTTGCCAACCTTGAGTGTAACTGAGTTGTGTGTATGGGTTGTTCATCCTTCTTTCTCTGTTTTATCAAAGGCTAGCCTTTATAATTGTCGTTATCGCTTAACCTACGGTGTTTACCTAATGTCTGATTGTTGATTTGCTTCTCTGATTTTCATATGACTGACCGATTATTAGTAGTCTCTTTGTCCATGTGTCTGTTGATCATCATTTGATAGCAGTAAACCGCTTCCAGAGAATCCCGCAGATTCTGAGCTTGCTTCTTATAGTATTTCTGTGGTGGTTCAGTCGAATTTGTGTTTGTTTTTATCTACTTGTATAGGTATCAATAAGGACATGTCCTTTTCTTTTGACTACAAGTTGATGCTCATAAATTATTTAGCGCATTCGACGACTGTGCTGGCCAATATGATGATGTCTACAACTCTTACAACTAGTTTTGTAAATGATATTCATCCTACCTTCTTTGGACAATGTATCCTATAGATGACTTTTTGGAAAGATCTTGTTGGTTTGCGTGGAACACTGATACTGAATGAATGAAGTGATTGGTTAACAGTTGCTGAAACACCTCAGATATATGATGTAGCGATTCGTTTTCTAGGCTGAGATAATTGTCCTGAGACATGTATTCCACTCACTATTACTTGATAACGTCGATTGGGCGGTCATCGTCTTTGAACGCTGTAAAGGTGGTTTTCTTCTGACCTTCTCAGTTGTTGAGTCCTTCAGGGAATCTTGGCGCGTGCGAATAGTGTCTCGCACAGCTCATTTTATGAGACGTTAGCTTGTTACAATTGTAATTCAAAAGGTGACCGGGGTGTGTCATCTTCCTGTACACCTAAGTCTGTAGGATTACATCAGATGTTCTTCTAATAAAAACATGTAGGAAGGTGATTTCTGTATTTTCTCCCTTTCTTTTATGTAAAGAACACCCTAAAAATTTGGCTGGAGAGATCCTACATGATTTTAATTCATTTGTTTTACTAATTTCGAAACTATTGTCAATTTAACGAATCCTAATTTTGGTTCGATCATTAGGATGTCTATTGATTCTAACCTCTGCGTCGCTACTTCAACCATCAGTCTGGGTTTTGAGGAGGACATCATTTTTCGTCATTGTTTATCTTATGGTTACTGAATTACTGAGTGCTGTTTTCCATCATCGAGATGTTTAACTTTTTTGTTTAATTCTTTGGATAAATTGAATGACAATATTCTGGATAGTGACACTACTGAAAACAATCGAACAGGTACCTTGTGTACTTAAGATTGACTATAGAATATAAGTATAACCAGGCTATTCGTCTTCATTCGTGGTTGTTTTTCTTTCGCGGTTTCAACACCTATGACTAGGCTGTTTTCTTTGAATTTGGTTGTCCTGTTTTAGGTAAAGGTTTTTTATCTGCCAGCTGACAAGTGCTCTTGTCATTGAGTTGTTCTCATCCTCTTCCCACGTTATTCACTTCTTTCATGGCAATGATCTTTTTCTGTCTCCCAGTAGTATCACAGTTTTATTATCTGACATTACTTCTTTGTTATCTGTGCTGAAATGGTAGTTCCTTCTCTGGATTTTCACTGATAGTATGACTATCTGTAGTAGTCCTTTTTGTTTTTCTGCCATGATTTCTATAGCTGTGAGTTGGTAGTCAAGGGTCGCACAGAAATATGCCATATTCACATTCAATCCTTTTTGGAGTGAATTGTATTATGTCAAGGAAAAGGTTCTTTTCGAAAG